CTTCATAGATTTTGGATACTAACCCCTTATCTGGTGTGTCATTTGCAAATATCTTCTCCTATTCTGTCAGTTGCCTTTTTTGCTGATTGTTTCCTTCGGTATGCAGAAAGATTTTTATCTTGATGAAACCCCAATAGTTCATTTTTGCTTTTGTTTCCCTTGCCTCCAGAGACATGTCAAGTAAGAAGTTGCAGCCGCTGAGGTCAAAAAGCTTGTTTCCTATTTTCTCCTCGAGGATTTTGATGGCTTCCTGTCTTACATTTAGGTCTTTCATCCATTTTGAGTTTATTTTTGTATTTGGTGTGAGAAAGTGGTCTAGTTTCAACCTTCTGCATGTTGCTGTCCAGTTTTCCCAGCACCATTTGCTAAAGAGACTGTCTTTTTTCCATTGGATCCTCTTTCCTGCTTTGTCAAAGATTAGCTGGCCCTACACTTGTGGGTCCAATTCTGGGTTCTTTATTCTATTCCATTGGTCTATGTGTCTATTTTTGTGCCAGTACCATACTGTCTTGATGATTGCAGCTTTGTAGTAGAGGCTAAAGTCTGGGATTGTGATGCCTCCCGCTTTGGTTTTCTTCTTCAGCATTACTTTGGCTATTGGGGGCCTTTTGTGGTTCCACAGAAATTTTAGGATTGTTTGTTCTAGTTTTGAGAAGGATGCCACTGCAACTGTGATTGGGATTGCACTGAATGTGTAGATTGCTTTGGGTAGTATAGACATTTTAACAATATTCATTCTTCAAATCCATGAGCATGGACTGCTTTTCCATTTCTTTGTGTCTTCTTCAATTTCCTTCATAAGCTTTCTATAGTTTTCACCATACAGATCTTTTACATCTTTGGTTAGGTTTATTCCTACAGGCCAATATCCCTCATGGACATGGATGCAGAAGTTCTCAACAAGATACTAGCATATCGAATTCAACAGCATATAAAAAGAATTATTCACCATGATCAAGTGGGATTCATTCCTGGGCTGCAGGGCTGGTTCACCATTCACAAATCAATCAATGTGATACATCACATCGATAAAAGAAAGGATGAGAACCATATGATCCTGTCAATCGATGCAGAAAAAGCATTTGACAAAATTCAGCATCCTTTCTTAATAAAAACCCTCAAGAAAGTCGGGATAGAAGGAACATACTTAAATGTCATAAAAGCCATATATGAAAAGCCCACAGCTAATATCATCCTCAATGGGGAAAAACTGAGAGTTTTCCCCCTGATCAGGAACACGACAGGGTTGCCCACTCTCACCACTATTGTTTAACACCATGTTAGAAGTCCTAGCATCAGCAGTCAGACAACAAAATGAAATAAAAGGCATCAAAATTGGCAAAGAAGTCAAACTTTCACTTTTCACAGACAACATGACACTCTACATGGAATTTTTATTTTTTTAATGTTTATTTTCGAAAGAGAGAGAGAGAGCGAGAGAGAGAGAGAGAGAGAGAGAGAGACAGAATCCAAAGCAGGCTCCAGGCTGTGAGCTGTCAGCACAGAGCCCGACGCGGGGCTTGAGCCCATGAGCCTGAGATCATGACCTGAGCTGAAGTTGGATGCTCAACCAACTGAGCCATCAGGCACCCCAATAAATAAATATTTCTTAAAACATAAAAAAATAGGGGCGCCTGGGTGGCTCAGTTGGTTAAGCATCCGACTTCGGCTCAGGTCATGATCTCACGGTCTGTGAGTTCGAGCCCCACGTCGGGCTCTGTGCTGACAGCTCGGAGCCTGGAGCCTGCTTCCGATTCTGTGTCTCCCTCTCTCTCTGACCCTCCCCTGTTCATGCTCTGTCTCTCTCTGTCTCAAAAATAAACATTAAAAAAATTTTTTTTAAAAAAACATAAAAAAATAAATTTTTCCTGTCTTATTTATATGTACAAAAAAAATGCCAAAAATTGCTTGGACTGATGTGTTTCTATTGTCTTATACACCAGTCAATATTCTAAGTGTGAGGGAGAAAGTTGTAAATAAAACACATAAGAATCTTTGTATTTGTTAAGATACAGAAAATGAAGGATATAAATAAATAAGATATATAGCATACTAAATAGTGATAAAAGATCAGAGGGAAAAAAATGAAAAAAGGGGTATGAATGAGTGAGCACATTTTAATTAGGTTGGCCAGGGATATCCTCACTGAACAGGTGAAATGTGAGAAAAGATTTGAAAGAAGTGAGGGATTAAGCCTTGAACTTATTTAAGGGAAGATCATCTCAGGCAGATGAAACAGTAAGTGCCAAACTTGAGGCAAGATTATAGCACGTGCAGCAAAGTGAGTGAGGGGTATCGTAGAAGTTCAAGTCAGTGAGAAAACAGCGGGGAGCATCTGGCTGGGCCTCGAGGGAAGCGTATGGATTTCTACTATACTCTGAATGACATCAGAAGTCATTATAAGGGTTTGAGCAGGGTACTCATCTGTCCCGACCTACGTTTTCACAGAATCACTCGAGTGTTATACTGATAACAGACTGAAGGAGGCCGGAGAAGTGTATGAAACCAGTTAGGAGACTATGGCAATGATGCAGGTAAGAGATGATGGCTATCTGAAACCAAGCTGTAGGACTGGAAATAGTAAGAAGTGGTAGGTAGCATTCTGGATATATTTCTACAAGAATTACTGATGATACGGTATATGAGAGGAAGAGAGGAGGCAAGAATGACCCCTCTATATGTATTCCTGAAGAATGGAGCCGCCATTTGTTGAGATATGAAAGACGATGGGAACGGTGGGTTCAAGGGACGGAAACCAAGATTTTGGTACTGAGACATGTTTAGTTCAAGCTTCCTACGAGACATCTGAGTAAATATGTTGGGTAGGTAGTTGAGTGTATGAGTCTGGAGTTTTGGAGACGGGTCTGGGTTGGAGAAATGAATTTTATGATCATAAACATAAATTTTATGATCATAAGCAAGTAGAAGATCCCACATAGGAGACTATGAAAGAGCATCATTTACCATTAGCTAGCACCCCGTTGTGTAAGAGGAAGACCAAGTGTGTGGCATACTGGACACCAGTAAAGACTGTGTATCAAAAGAGGAGTGATAAGCTGAGTCCAACGCCAGTGATGGGCCAAGCGAGGTGAAGACCGAGAAATGATCGGCACTTTTCGAAATGTTAAGATCATGAGGGTTGTTAATAAGAAAAGGACGTGGTTCTCGGAAAGAATGGGGAATGAGGGTCGGGAATGGTGACTATAGATTCGGGTTAGCTACGAAGCCACTGGAGGACACTGCTCACAGAGGTGACGTAATTTGGCTCCTATTTTTTGGATCATATTTCAATATGAGGATAAGCTATAGCAAACAGACTAAGGAGAAACAAGGGTGGCATCAGGAAGTCAAATTCAGGGACTTACTAAGATAATTCAGGTGAAGAAGATGGTGGTTCCAACCAGGATAGTAGCGGGGGAAGTGATGAGAAGTGGCTGGATGGATTCTGGATGTATTTTGAAATTCCCCACGATTTGCTCACGGACTGGATGAAGCAGATGAGTCAATGGGAATTATGGAGGGTCGTGGGGAAGGGTCAGTTCAAGCAGAAACACAACGAGCAGAGGTAACGAATGCGAGAAAGTACAGAGACTATACAGGGGACTAAAGTACTCGTGACAAAACTGGATTCAAATACCGGGTGGGCAATGTTCTCTTGAATTATTTGAAGTGGATTCCAGACAAGGAAAAGAACAGAGACTGTCAAGACCTGAGGCAAGAGTGTGCCTCGTATCTCAGTGGAAAAGCCCAGAAGCCTGTGTGGCCGGAACAAACTGAGGAAACAAGAGGAAAAGGAGGAGGCGAGGCAATCGAAGAGGTAAGAAGAAGTCCTTCCAAGAAAATACGGGCTCCAAGTTGGCTGGTCCAGTTGCAGTTTAGGAAAGGTATAGGGACGGATATGGTGATGCTCCGAAATCTCCACATAATCAGTATCTATCAGAAATCTTCAGAGGAACCACAAGAGCAAGTTTTCTGTGTTAGAATGATCTCTCTGACATCATGGGAAAGAATAAGATAGAGAGGAGAATAAATGCCAAGGGTCCTATACCGGATGCAACAGGTACGTACACATGATGGTATTTTCCTGCACTCGTTCCATCTTAACCTATTTGCTCTATTTCTCTTCCATGTACCAGATAGTAAAACTACATTTTGGCAAAATCACTAAGTCTTAAGCGCTGTTTTGTCAGTCAAGGTCCTTCTCGATTGCTTCTCAACCAAATTGATCACTTACTTGTTCCTTACCCGGCCTGCCCCGATTCCAGATCCCAGACATTCACGAATGTACCATGCACCGTCACGTCCCTTTGCTTTTGCGTATGCTACTGCTGTTGGAACTGGAGTGTATTATGTAAGCAAAATAAGTCAGTCAGAGAAAGACCTATCATATGATTTCGCTCATAGGTGGAATTTGAAAAATGCAAGAGATGAACATAGGGAAAGGGTAGGAAAAATGAGATAAAAACAGAGAGGGAGGCAAAAAGAGACTCAAACTGAGGGTTGCTGGAGGGGAGGTGGTGGCGGGGGGGATGGGTTAAATGCCTGATGGGCATTAAGGAGGGCACTTTTCGGAGAGGCACCTGGGTGACTCAGTCGGTTAAGCATCTGACTTCGGCTCAGGTCATGATCTCGCGGTTCACGAGTTCCGGCCCCACGTCAGGCTCTGTGCTGACAGCTCGGAGCCTGGAGCCTGCTTCAGATTCTGTGCCTCCTCTCTCTCTGCCCCTACCCTGCTCTCACTCTGTCTCTCTTTCTCTCAAAAATAAATAAACATTAAAAAAAAAAAAAAAAAGGAGGGTACTTTTCAGGATGGGCACTGGGTGTCGTATGTAAGAGATGAATCACTGGGTTCTACTCATGAAGCCACGACTACACTGTATATTAGCTAACTTGAATTTAAACTTAAAAAAAAAGCAAAACTACGTACCTGATATTTGCTTTAATGAGGTGCAAGACACACGGACATGGAAATGACCATGATGAAGGAAGAGTTTACTTACAGTTCCTTAGAAACAGGAGGTATGGTATACCACGTGGTGCCATATGGGGAAGCGTCAGGGCCAATCAGGAATTAGAGGGAGTGCGGACAACAGACACAAGAACCTCTGTTGTTGTTTCTGTGGGAAAAGGCAAGACAAAGCAGGGTAAAAACGTTTAGAATTGGCTGGTCCGAATAATTTTAGTGGGGCTCTGGAGTCTAGGGGGTGCCCCTGTTTGTCTTGGTACCTGGCCCTGGAGTGAGGGGGGAAAATGGACTGTGGCTTATTGTGTAAGAAGTAGATAAAGGAGGTAGTTGGGGAGTATGGGCCTCGGACTGGTTGGTTCGCATAGAAAGGGTGAGCTGTTTGCTATCTGTAGGAATTTGCTAATGGTAGAAGGGGAAGTCCCTCTCCAGTGGTCAGGAAGGCCCCAGATACCCCAGCATCAAGAATACACAAAAGAGGGGCGCCTGGGTGGCTCAGTCGGTTGGGCGGCCGACTTCGGCTCAGGTCACGATCTCGCGGTCCGTGAGTTCGAGCCCCGCGTCGGGCTCTGTGCTGACAGCTCAGAGCCTGGAGCCTGTTTCAGATTCTGTGTCTCCCTCTCGCTGACCCTCCCCTGTTCATGCTCTGTCTCTCTCTGTCTCAAAAATAAATAAAACGTTAAAAAAAAAAAAAGAATACACAAAAGAAGGAAATATAGTTAATACCATTTCCTCAGCCATTCTTTCCTGACTATGGATGAAGCAACTCAGGATTCAAGGTTCAGTTCAAATGTGTCTCCTTCTGTCAAGTCCTTCCCAGTCCCTACAGTCAGAATTAATTGTGCTCCCCGCTTCAGTGCTGAAGTCTTTTGTTTAAAGTGCTTTTTAAGTACATACAACAGTTCTGATCTAATAATAAAGGTGTATGGGTTACTATCTCCCATTAAAAAAATAGTTTTCTGGGCGCCTGGGTAGCTCAGTCGGTTAGGCATCCAGCTTTGGCTCAGGTCATGATCTCACGGTTTGTGGGTTCGAGCCCCGTGAAGGGCTCTGTGCTGACAGCTCAGAGCCTGGAGCCTGCTTCAGAGTCTGTGTCTCCCTCTCTTTTCCCCTCCCCTGCTCACTCTCTGTCTCTGTCTCTCTCTCTCAAAAATAAATAAACATCAAAAAAATAAAAATAAAATAATTTTCTATTTTTTGGTATTTTTGATCAAAAATATTTATAGTAAGGACCTAAACAACATAACGTGACCTTATCAAGTCCATGGCAAGTGTTATTAAAGTAACCTCAGAACAAGGAAGAATTACTGGCAGTTTCTTATCAATGAAACAAGATACTAAGTTTATACATAGAGAAAGAATCAAGTTTCTTTACATCTGTAAGTAGTAAGTGGGAAAATACCAGCAAATGATTGCCAACAAAATGTCTAGTTGAAAGTGCAATGCCTACTTAAAATTAACTAAGGAAACTTGTCTAGTACTTATGACATTCAACTACTGGCTTGACTGTTCTGTTTGTTTGCCTGTTAATTACTGAACTGAGCAATTTTGGCATTAGATAGGTACAACCTTACCTGTTGACCACAGTACCCTTGAAATGTGCTCTCATCTTAAAGCAATGAATTGAGCATACCAGCAAATTTGATTTTAAGAACTCTAATATTTTGCTAGCTGTGATTCCAGCCGAGGGTCACAGCTATCTGTATACTACTGAATAAAGAACATTCCTTCATCATGTGGGAAACCTGTCTTCTTTGATAACAAGGCTTCAGAAGGGATGTACGTTGAATAAAGCTCGCTAGTGTGACACATGAGGAAGACATCTCCCTACCCAGAATATGCCCAGTGCATTCTAAAGTTTATGTCTTTATTTTGAGACAGACAGAGAGAGCCTGAACAGGGGAGGGCCAGAGAGAGATGGAGAGACAAAATCCCAGGTCGGCAATGTGCTGTCAGCACGGAGCCTGATGCATGTCTCGATCCCATGAACCGTGAGATCATGATCAGAGCTGAAATCAAGAGTCGGATCCTTAACCGACTGAGCCACCCAGGCGCCCTTGACCAGTGCTTTCTAATGAAATAGCTATCTATCTATATACATATGTATAATAATATATATAATGATATATATATATCAATATATATAATTAATATATATAATATATATATATATCAATATATCACACTAAAGTAAAATAGTAGTAAGTCCCACATACATCAATCTAGTCAGTTGTAAGGATAGGAAGTCTCTATAAATAAATATTTATTTATTAGATGTTAAGCCAAACCCTATGTCTTACACAGAGTTCTATTTGATCTAAAAATACAAGCAGTATATATTAATAACCAAGTTCTTAACTTGTGCAATCATCTCCACTATCTATTATCTTCCCTTTCAGTTGGCTACACATAACAGTTTGGGACTCATGCCAGTCAGCCGTGGTCCATGTGGATGTCTCGATGGGCCGTGTTTCTCAGCAAGTGGGGATCGTGCGTGGTATACCTCCTATGTCACTGCAAGACATTTAATGCGAAATATGATCTGCCATTATAGCAACGGTTCCGGCTGGGTCAGAAGATAGGTAGGTGGATTCCTTATTCTTTCCCAATTCAAGGCGGTACAAAGGAGGTTACTGCCAAAGGACAGGCTTAGCATAAGAACATGCGCCAGAGAAACAAGAATCTATATGATACGATTGGGGTTTTATTCACGGATTAAAAACAAGTGATTCTTGGCCTGAAGGTGAGTCACAGATGGACAGGGCTCAGATGGCACAAGAGGATACAGAAGTGAGTAAGATTCCCTAGTGAGAATTGAAAGTGCATCTTGGCAAAAGATGAATTTGTCCCCTATATAGTGGGGTCATTACACACAACCCTTGCCCATCCTTCCATCTGGTTTCTATGTCAAACAGCATTAATTCAGTTTTTTGTGGTCTGATTCTCAATCAGTTCAAACACAGCACATATCCCAGACATATGCTAAAATGCACATGTATATGGTTCCATTTGTATGTAATTCTTTGAGAGTGTGTAAGGGATAATGCTCATGTCAACGAAAAGAATAAATGTTGTAGACAAAGTCAAATTATTACAGTGACAATTTTCCAAGCATAAAAACGAAATCTCATTCTTGTAGAACTTTTTCCAATATCCTTATTATCTGGAACACTGAACTCTTGTCACTGAAAGAATCACCTGCTTTAGTGAGAAATTAAGAAGTGATTCAGTGTTGACAAAAACATGACTGATGAATCACTGTTTAAAGGAAGAATAGTTTACTTTCCTCCAAGGGAAAAAGCACCCGGAATTTAATAGTGGCCGTACTTTGTGTCCTCCAGATTGAGAGTTGATGTATAGCCATACTTAGCCAAGTAATAATATCAAGGTCATGTTACCATTATTACTCCTAGATCATTAAAGAATGGAGAGTGATTAACCTAGAGTGATATACTTTATTGAATTGTTTTCCGTCTCTGCTTATCTTTGTGCTTCATTGCTGGATCAATTTAAAATGAGGCCCAAATCCACTGAGGGTCTCCTTTGACACAGGTTTGTCCTAAAGAAATCAGCAGCCACTTTAAAGTTAGCTTTTACATGCTGATCAACCTAAAGGGGAAAATCAGTTCAAGACTTGTGTTCTTTGCTACGGGGAGATATGGAAGTAGGAAACGTACTTGGCACTTCATTGAGTTTCATAAGAACTCACATTCACGGGAAAAACAGACAGTGGGATCAATATCAAACAAAATATCAATAAACAGGACAGAAATGGTCCACCATGAGAACGTAAAGCGAGGAATGATCAAGAGTGACTCAGCTTCTATTGCAAGTCTTTGGTACCTGTACAGGAACTGAACCCTAAGCAGAGTATAGTATGGTTCCATCAATACTTTCGAGCAAATGAAAAGGAACAGCAGAAAGCTACGCTGGCAGTCCTTCAAATGAAAATATGTTCACCGATGACACGGTCCACCTCATATCTAATGTGAACAGATTGTGGAAGGTCAGAGGAGAAAAAAAAGGATGCACAGAGATAGAACCAGCTAGAGACCTTAATTAAAGCAATTCCACTTGGCTTTCTGTTCAAAGAAAAAAAGAAGCTGTCTTAAAAAAAATGTTTCTATAATAAGGATTCCTTTTAAAAAAAAATAACAACTTTCCCAAGAATGTAATCTAACATTAGCTTAATAGCATAGAATTTTGTCCTACAACAGTATATCCTTAGCAGCAATTTTACTGAGAAACATGCTGATTTTTCTGGCTAACCAAATACAAATAATCACAAGCATAATGTTCTTCTAGAGTTGGTACTGTGTTAAATAAATGCACTTGGTCAGTCATTTTACCTTGTTAGAGTCATGCTTCTGAACGTAGACAATTGAGAATGGATGTAATTACAAACTATTCACATCGACTGGCTCTACTGAACTATTTTGAAGCATTCATATTTCAATCAACAGTGCAGAAGGCAACTATGGTAGAAATGTTTTCTATTCTGACTATATTTGCATATTTGTGTCAGTTGCTTGATTCAAACCAATTAGACTACGGTTATCTATGAAAACCATACGGCGTACAAATAAAGCACACAAGGCCAGTTAAACATCAAAAGTGTATCATTTGCATAGTTAGAAAGGAACACTGACAAGGAAGATATTTACTATTCAAGGACTCTACTACCTCATAGAAGGTACAATCTTTCTATTTTAAATCTATATGTACTGAAGCAAATGATTACTCTTCAAATATTTGTCAGTGTTGTACTAACTTGGGGCAAAGAGCAGAGAAAATGAGTGATGTGAGGAACACAATTCAAACAACTGTTTAAATAAGCTTGTGAAAACTGTGTTTTTCATAGGTAAATCCATGTCAGAATGACCTTCTAACATTCTACTGGAATTTCCAATTTAAACTTTTCTAGTAGGACTATTCTTACCAACACTGAAGGATATAATCATCACTAATTTCCTTAATTATTCTCATGTCATTTTATTTCTTAAAAAAGTTTGACCTAAAAGAAACCTATAAAACATCTTATAACTTTCTTTACTTTGGTGGACTAGTTTTTGGTTTTCTTTTTTTTTAAGTAGGTTTCATGCCCAGCACAGAGCCCAACGCAGGACTTGAACTCACGACCTTGAGATCAAGACCTGAGCTGAGATCAAGAGATGGATCCTTAACCAACTGAGACACCCAGGCGCCCTGGTGGACTGTTTTTTTTTTTTTTAATTTTTTAATGTTTTTATTTATTTTTGAGAGAGACAGAGAGACCATGAGCGGGAGAGGGGCAGAGAGAGAGGGAGACACACAATCAGAAGCAGGCTCCAGTCTCTGAGCTGTCAGCACAGAGTCTGATGCAGGGCTCGAACCCACGAACCGCAAGATCATGACCTGAGCTGAAGTCAGACGCTTAACCGACTGAGCCACCCGGAAGCCCGTTTTTGTTTTTGTTTTTTGTTTTTTGTTTTAATACTCAACTACTATGTTTAGGTCATCTAGGTCATATACCTATATTTAGGCCGATGGAGCCTACGGTAGAATAATAGCCCCAAAGATGTCTATGTCCTAATTCTTACAACTTGTGAATATGTTAATTTACGTGGTAAAAGAGACTCTGCAGATGTGATTAAGGTTCAGGATCCAAAGTGGGGAAATTAACCCGGATTATCTGGGTGGGCCCAATGTAATCACTAGGGTCCTTTTAAGAGGGAGACTGGAATCTCTGGAGTGTGTGTGTATAGCGTAGGGGGAGAGAGGGAGGGAGAAAAGGAGAGGGAAAGAGAGATAAAGAGGAAGAGGAAAGGGTTGAGAGAGAGAGAGGGAGGGGGAAAGAGAATTAAAGACAGTTATCTTGAGGTCTTTGAATATAGAGGAAAGGGCCATGAGTCAAGGAATGGGGGAAGCCTCTAGCAGGTGGAAAAGGTAAGTAAATGGATTCTCCCCTCAAACCTCCAGAAGGAACACAGCCCCATCGACTCATTTTAAATTCCTTTTCTGTTTTTAAAGTTTACTTATTTTGAAAGAAAGAGAGAGCCTGAGCAGGGGAGGGGTGGAGAGAGAGAATCCTAAGCAGACTCCTCACTGACAGTGCAGAGCCCAACATGGGGCTCGAACTCACAAACTGTGAGATCATGCCCTGAGCCAAAACGGAGTCGGACGCTTAACCGACTAAGCCACCCATATGCCCCTCATTTTAAATTTCTGACCTCCTTAACCGTAAGACAATGAATTTGTGTTATTTTAAGCCAGTAAGTTTGCATCAATAGGAACTCATACAGAATCTCTCCCTATGAAGGTTCTAATTTACCACTTAAAACTTTTCTTGCTTCTTAGGGTGCCTGCATGGCTCAGTCGGTTAAGAGTCCAACTCTTGGGGTGCCTGCATGGCTCAGTGGGTTAAGCTTCTGACTTCAGCTCAGGTCATGATCTCATGGTTTGTGAGTTTGAGCCCCGCATCGGGCTCTGTGCTGACAGCTCAGAGCCTGGAGCCTGCGTCAGATTCTGCGTCTCCCTCTCTCTCTGTCCTTCCCCCCTCTTTCTCTCTTTCTCTCTCAAAGATGAATAAACATCAAAAAATTTTTTTAAAAAAGAGTCCGACTCTTGGTTTCGGCTCAGGTCATGATCTCACGGTTCTTGAGATCGACCCACATTAGGCACTGCCCTGACGATGCAGCCTGCTTGGGATTGTCTCTCCCTCTCTGTCTTCCTCCCTCTCTCTGTCTCAAAATAAATAAACTGGAAATTTTTCTTTTCTTGCCTCTACATTGTGCCCTTTTCAACCGACAAGGGAGTGACTTGGTCACCTACACAACACTTTCACCTTGGGGTACCCAATACGTATGTCTTCTGGTCCTACTGAGATAGTCACTCATATTTTTCAAATAACTCTTCTTAATTTGTGATGTGTGCCACAATACTCTGGATATAAAAATATCATGCAAGACATTACTGTCTTCAAATATTTCAGAATTTTGTTTTGCTTATGTCATAGCATGAGACGGATCATTTTACACGCAGCCGGTTCAAGTTATGTTCGTTAAAATATGTGTGTCTAATCAGATTTGTAAATTTCAATGTCATCTAGCTTTGAGTGGAGATTTGGAGTTAGATTAAGCCTTTAAAATATGGTTCCCAAATAACCAATGATAAATGCTCACACAGTATTCTCTATCTCTCACAGTCTGGAGCACATAGCAGAACTCATTAAACATTGGTTATAAATAATCAATGAAGTAATCTTGGAAGCACAAATGGAAGAATTTGAAAAATCAAGGCGTACCTCTTCAGAATCATTTGGTGTTCGAAAATGCTTGTAAAATGTAAATAATACATTAAAAACCCAACCGGCATCATTTTTATCTCTAATTATACCATATTGATTTATAAAAAGTTCTTCCATTGTTCCCAAATTCACATAAACTTTAATCTTTCAATGCACCGTTTGCATAAATGGTGCCCATTAGCAGTCTCGCCAGTTTTAGCTTTCGGGATCAAGTTCTGTCTTTGTAAGATTGTACGGCATTCCGATATCGTTGTGTGTTGTCCAGTGCCTCGCAGAGAATTAAGTCTGTGAGCTCTCTCATCACTGAAAGGGGTGAAGCAAAGGCTGGGCACCATTGTGTCAAGCACTTTGAAAAGGGATTTCGGAATCAGAAAGGAGACCGAATAAGAAATGGCCTCAGAGGTTCCTTCTAAACTCGAAGAGTTTGATTCCACTCCACACCTGAAGGATGGCCATCCACGGGCATCACAGCATAGCCAGCTTAGTTGTCACCAATCACCACGGTGGAGCTACTTCTGTCCCATCTCATCATCCTATTTATGTAGGCCTGGCCTTGCGGGAAATATTCTCGTCATGAGTAGATTCAAGCCAGAAGGGATTCCCTTTGGTTTGCTCTCCAACTTTTGCCAGACAGTTTCAGAATTATGAATTCTATCAAGGGCTAGAGACAGAATGTTCTCCTGGGCAGAATGAAGAAAATGTGAGATCATTGTATTACAGTGGGAACTCAAATTCGGTATCACAAAACACTACGGAGTATACAAACTGGGCTGGCTTTCTCCTCTGGCCCCTTTTCTTGCCCCCAAGTACCTTCCTTACAGAACATGTCATTTCATAGAAAATACACCATTCTATAATCGTTGAATCAGAGCAAGTTAACGGACATTATCCACAAAGAAGGGGGTAGTCTGAATTCAAGGAAAAGATATTATTGCACAAAGTATCCTCATGTGTGGTCAAGGCTAGCGGGCAGTTTAGGAAGAAGTCATAACCAAAGGTTGTCCTGTGTCTGAACTCAAAACAGTTTCACATGTCTTTGAGTTTTACAATCTTTATATAATTTGTCTTCGGTACAGAACGGTCAGAAATATTTGAATAAGTCAGTGTACCCAACCCCGAAGTATTTCTCAATTAATCACACTGATACAGCAAAAACTTGGTTGTTAATACCCTATCATTTTCCCCCAAAGCGTTCCAGCCTTTTGCCTCGTGAAAGGTTGTACTTCTCACCGGAAAGCAAATAAAAACGAAGTTAAAACCATCAACGTAAGTGAAACCTCTTTAGGACTGTTTGAACACTGAGACAGTATTAACAAAAATCGCTTCTAACTCGAACCCCCTATGTGGGTGGGGAAACTATCACTTAAATGTTTGGTTTGCTCTATTATTTATATTCTATCATGTCATATGAATTATTATTATCATTATCAGCGTGCCCAAGTGCCCTGTTGGTTAATATTGTTAGTGCAGCTTTATTCGACCTTCCATCGCTGACACAAACCGACACGTACAAGCCACATACGAATGTTAAACGCACTTAGCTTTGTAAAGGGGGTTTTCCCTTTACAAATTCAACTCTGAAAAGCCACCGTGGGATACAGAAGGAACAAGAGTCTCTCGGGTTCTGGATCCATCAGCCATTTCTCAGGAGGCTAAAGAGGGTCTGAGGACCGTGTTCTGTCAGCACTGAAGTGCACAGCTTTGGCCAGGTCTGATTGAGAAAGTGATGGTTGAGGAAAAAATTCGTGACTTCACAGTCTTCTACTCAGTACGAAGGGACGAGCTGCCAGGGCTGCTAACAACTATTTTACATATGAATATGTATTTCTAATTTACTTCCATTTCAATAATGTATTTATAGACATATTCTCATGTAATCAGATACAGAAAAGATCACAAACCGGTGAGTGGCACAATTAGTATTTTTAAAAAATGTTTAATGTTTATTTATTTTATTTTGAGAGAGAGAGAGAGAGAGAGAGAGAGCACGAACTGAGGAGGGGTAGAGAGAGAGGAAGAGAGAGAATCCCAAGCAGGTTACATGTTGCCAGCGTGGGGCCCGACACGGGGCTGGAACCCATGAACCATGAGATCCTGACCCGAGCCGAAAGCAAGAGTCAGCCGCTTAAACCACTGAGCCACCCAGGTGCCCCGGAATTAGCATTTGAACAGAAGACTTTCCAAATTTAAAACCTTGGGCCAGCTCCGGTTTTTAGTTATCTTTTAATCCGCGCAGAGTAAGATTCCCTTTTTTGGTGTGTGAGTTGTGACAAATGCATAGAGCCACGTCAGCACCACCACAAACACAGGGAACGGCTCTACAGCTCCCCTCAAGTCCCCTCATGGTGCCTCTCTGGAGAGAAACTTTTCTCCCATCCTAATCATGGCAAGAAGAAAGGGAGAAAGAAATAGAAAAAGGAAGAGAGGAGGGAGGGAAGGAAGGAAGGAAGGAAGGAAGATTCTCCTCCATTCCCCCAGGTCTCACAAGAACCTTCTTCTTGGTCCTCTGGCCACAGAGATGTCTGTAGGACTTTTCTCTCTGTGGATTTCTATGGCTTGGGTCAAAGCCAGGAGATAAAAGAGGCAAACAGCGGACTACTGAAAAACAAAACAGAACAAAACACAAGACCAGGAAACACCTCAGGTAGCTAGCTGCTTTTTGTATTCCATCCATCCTTTTTCAGTAGTAATCAGTGGGGGTGAGAGAGGCTGTATTGGGCTTCCTCCAAGTTGACCAGTGTGAGAAGTTCAGTTTGAATTTGAGAAGGGAGCATGCATTCTTTGGTGGAATAGTTCATCTCCAAAGGGCAAAATAAGTTCTACTACCGTTTTGCCTAGAATAGCACAAAGAGATGCCGTTAGTGAACTTCAGATAACAGGAGTATGAGCCTGAGCAGGTTAATCTTTATCCCGCGGCTGAGTTTTAACAAAGATTATACAGCTAAAATTAGTTTTGACAGATCTTGCCGGTAACGAATGAAAGATAGCTTGGATTTGTCACTTCTTCTGAGGTAGGAAGTCCCATGAATGAAAAATCAGGTTTCTGGCTTAAGAATATCATATTAAACGAAAACTGAGCTTCAGAGGATACGACTGCCCTCTAGTGGGGGCCACCCAAACTGCAGACCACAATTACCGGAGTCTCCAGGACGCTCTGAGAAAGAACCTGGCAAAATCCACCACATTGTGTTGACGTTAAGAACTCGATTTGTGTTCGTCCTAATAACACAGAAGTTTGCTGGATGTTTTATTTACTATGGTCCATTCTTTATGCTACAAATATAATGGTGACCTTCATCAGAGTTACCAGTTCCAAACAGTAAGTTCGTGTGTAATAGGGGTCTAGGAGCGCCTGGGTGGCTGTCGGTTGAGCGTCCAACTTCGACTCAGGTCATCATTTCACGGATGAAAGAGAACAGGGGTCTAAAGAATTGAGAAAGTATTCTGAAAGCCTCTCCAAAGGCTGGAGCTCTGGTTAGTGTCTTTACTTCCCAAAGCATCAAGATATATTACCTTACTTTGTATCGATGTTGAATGTAATAGTTGGCTGTATTTTGTTATTTAAACGAACTCAACAAATACTTATCGAGAGCCTGTAATAGTCCATAAAGATAAAAGGAATGATGCATCAATGATATATGTAACAAATATAAAGCATTACGCATTGTAAAGTATAAAGTAACAATTATATACGTCAATATATACGTGCCTAATAACAGAGCTGTGAAAAACATGGACGAGAAAACCCCAACAAAATTAAAGAGAGAAATAGACACATTCACAAAGCTAGAGAGTTTAAGATTCTTCACTAAGCACTTGGCAGAACAATTGGAAAAAAGAAAGAGCTGGAGATGTGAGTGAAGCGTAATGTCCCCATCTTAAGATCCTTAATCATATCTGCAATGCCCCATGTGACCATGCCACCACCCTCTAGACCCAACTACACACACCGAATCAGAAACCGTTATGTACCACTGTCCCTGTGGTAGGCTGAAGGATACCTCTCACGACATGTCCAATGCCCTAATCCCCAGAACCTATGTTATGTCATATGGCAAAAGGGACATTGTAGATACGATTAAGGATCGTAAGATTGGGGGGGGGGGGGAACACTGTGCTGGATTGTCAAGGCGGGCCCTAAATGTAATCACAAGTGTCCTTACAAGAGGAAACCAGAGGGATATTTGACTACAGAAGCAGTAAAGCTGATATGATGACAGTAGCAGAAATTGGAGTGATGGACTTTGACAATGGAGGAAGCAGCCGCAAGCCAATGAACAAAGGAGACGACTAGAGGCTGAAAAAAGCAAGGAAATGGAGTCTCCATAAAGAAACAGCTCTGTCAACACCTTGACTTTTGCCAAGTGAAATCGATTTCAGACTTATTATTCCCAGTACTGTATAAGGGAATAAATTTGTTTTCTTTTAAGCTCGTGGGTGCATGGTAATTTGTTACAAGAGCAGTAGGGCACTGATACAATCTATGACAGTAGGAAGACACGGGTCTGGGAAAATAGGGGTGGAATCAGGAGTAACAATAATGAGCTAACTAAAGGAGACTCAAGAGACATGTCAAGTTCATGCCATGCCCGACTCTTTTAAATACCGTTAGTTAATTTTATTGTTTTTCAGCTTTACTGAGACATAACTGACCTACAACACTGTGTAAGTTTAGGAATATATAATGTAATGATTTGATATTCTTATATTGTGAAATGGTCACTACAGTAAGGTTAGTTAACCTCTCCATAACTGTGCATAATTACCATTTTTGGGGGGGTGACATTTAAAAGCTACTCCCTTAGCAACTTTCAAATATACAGCACAGTATTATTAACTATAGTCACCATGCTGTGCAGTAGATCCCCAGAATTTATTCATCTTGTAAGTGGAAGTTTGTACCCTTGGACAGACATCTCCCATTTTCCCAACCTCCTGCCACCACCATGCTAACTAACTCTGTCTCCAGGAGTTAGATAGTTTCAGATTCCACATATGAGATCATATACTATTTGTCTTTCTCTGACTTCTCTCACTTAGCACGATACCCTCTAGCTCCAGCCATGCTGTCGCAAAAAGCCAGAGTACCCTTCTTTCTCATGGCTGAAGAACATTCCATCGTATATATGTACGTATATATGTGCATGTGTGTGTCACATCTTCAACTATTCATCCAGACACAAACAATGATGTCCTTTCAATATCTTGGCTATTGTGA